TCATAATGTCTGCTTTCAAAGGCTCACTGTATCGTTTAGCCAAATAATCAAAATGCATGGCCTTGAGCAAGTTAGGTTTTCTGTATTTTCGTGTTCTCACCTGTAAAATTGAGGTTGTAATTTATTTCCCCCAAAAGGTTGTCATTAAGTATTAAGTGGAAAAATATGTATAAAGTACTCAAGGTGTTGCTTCATATTATATATTATTACTATTGTTATGGTATGACAAGTTTGTAACTTCCATATGTATAATGATCCTATGATTTTAAATGTTTTTGATATTTCCAAAACTATTCGCTAAGTAAAGCACTGTCAATATTTCTCTATTGATTCTCATAAGACTTGGATAGAAGTTAAGAATGTCATTGATTGTGACACCTACCACTGTCAATGTTTCTATTGATCCTCATAACACTAGGATGGAAGTCAAGTATATCATTGATTGTGATAATCTACAGTGACTCCACTTGTGGGTTTTGCTTTGGTTTTGACTTTACAGTGGTGTGAAAGCTGGACATTTGGCAGAAACTACAGTTTGAATGTTTAGTGTGGGAGGTCTTTCTGTTTGTGTGTTGCTTTCATTGGTTAATGAATAAAGAAACTGCCTGGGCCTAGTTGATAGGGCAGAATTTAGGTAGGCAGGGAGACGGAATTGAATTCTGGGAGGAAGCAGGCAGAGCCAGGGAGAGACGCCATAGAGCTGCCAAAAACAGACATGCCAAATCTTTCCCAGTAAGTCACTGCCATATTAATATAGATTAATAGAAATGGGTTCAACTAAGGTGAAGAGTTAGCCAATAAGAAGTTAGAGCTAATAGGCCAAGCAGTGATTTAATTAATACATTTTTCTGTGTGGTTGTTTCAGGTGTAAGCTTCCGGGGGGGAGGAGGGGTCGGGATGAACAAGCAGCCCCTTCCTCCTACAAATGTTGAATTTTAATCTTTTCTTGGATTAGCAATATGGGTGTGATGTGCTCTCACAGGGTTCAACAATACTCTACAATGTGATGTGTTTTAGTAATTTTGCATATGAATATCTAGTAAATGACCTGAGCCACCCATCATTATTATAAAATAGGCTTTGTATGAGATTATTTTGTCTAATTCTAGGTTACTATATATGTTCTGGGTGTCTTTAGGGTTGCCCAGGCTGAGCTATGATGCTTAGTAAACTAAGTGTACTACATGCCTTTTTGGCTTATAAATATTTCCATCTTGGGGATACTGGAGGTAACTTGATAATAACCTAAGGGATATCTTTCCTGGAGTCAGGATACCAGTCCTCTCTAAGGGATGTGAGGGGACAGCTACTTCTGTCACATCATTTCGTGGAGCTGGGATGAGTTCTAGCAATCCTGGGGCATGAACTCAATAATTTACTTTTACATCTCCATTCCCATCCAAATCAGTAAAGCGAAAACTATGAGGCAGAACGAGATCTGCAGCTCATCCTTCTTGGTGATCTAATTCGTGTCCAGAGAGGAGGGAGAAGGATCTGGTTTTACTCATTAGGATTTAGCAACTATTAAGAGGAGTGACTCAGCATGGAGCATGAACCCTTCCAGGAAGTCCTCCAAAGCAAACTTTGTAGGGGAGAGGGATACACCTGCAACATTTAAGTAAGAGTGAGACAATACAAAGCTTTCCTGTTCGTGGGGAGCTTCCTTGAGCTCCCTACCTTTGATATTCTCCTCTACTTATTGTCCCTTACACACAATTTAATCCTTAATTACTTCATGTCCTGCTGTTTGACTCCAGCTGTATTTCGCACATCTCCCCGAAGAGATTGCAACAGTTTGAGAAGACAGAGCCTACTTCCTTTTCTGAAAGACAGATGTGCCAAGAAAAGCAGTAAGCTCAATACCGGTATTACATATTCAGAAAAGCTTAGGTTGCTTAGTTGGTTGTTTCTGAAAACGAGTTCATTGGGCAGTGCCTGAAAACTGGCCCCTCACCTAACGCCCCACTTGAAAATATTCACTAGATAAATTAAAGACATAATATTAAATACAAAATAGTAAAGTTTGCAGAAGAAAATACAGTACAATGTTTTTATGATTCAAAGCAGTCAAAGGCCTAAGAAAATCAGTATGACTGCATAGATTTTCATTTCATCAGCAGTACAAATAGAAGAAAAAGGAGATGATGTCTATAACAAATACACACTTAGTGTCTAAAAATTATATGTAACTCCTAAAAAATGTAATCAAACAGCAAAAATAAAAACACAGGCCAAAAATACGTCCAGAAAATTATTCTTTTTAATTGATTTTATTGAGCTATACATTTTTCTCTGTGTCCAGAGAATTTGTAGAAAGAAGAACCCCAAAAGACACAAGGTATGAATTTATTCGTGATTTGCAAAGTGTGACTTAAATCATGACTAAGAAAAGAGTGCTACTTATTCCTATTAGGTTAGAAAATAATGCCAAGAAAAGAAAAAGAATAATTGCAAATTATATGAAGAAGACGAAAGGTTCGTATATTCCTGCTAGAGTTTAAATATAAAACGTCTTCAACAGGCTCATGTTTCAAAAGCTTTCTACCTAGCTGATGGCACTGTTTGGGAGGATGTGGGCCTTCTAGCAAGTGAGATCTAGCTAGCCAAAGTAGATCACTAGTCACAGACTGGGGCAAGTAGGCTCTTTGAAAGTTGTTTCCAGGCCCTGGCTATACTGTGTTCTAGCTTCTTGCCTACTGTGATGTGCAAACATGACCTGTGTCACACATCGCCCCAGCTCTGATGTTCACTAAGGTGCATGGACCAATCAACGATGGGCTGAGATAAAATAAATATTTTTCCCTTAAGTTATCTCTGTCAGGTATTTTGGTTCCCGTTTAGGGAAAAGTAATAAATAATTATTTCTTTCCATTATGAAGAAAGTTTTCTATGACCAAGAAGTAGGTTTTCACCAGATACCAAGTCTACTACGATCTTGATATTAAACTCCTGAACTTCCAAATCTATTTGAAATAAAAGTTTGTTGTTTAAGTTTCTCTGTCTATGGTGTTTTTGCTATCAAAGCAAGAAAGGAATAACACAACCAATGTGAGGAAAGATGTGCAAATATGTATTTTATGAGGATAAGGACATTATATGTAGCAGGTCACATGGTGCCATATCATAGCTGGTTAATGTAAATATCCCATAAATAGAGAGAGACAACCACAAGAGGCTCTGAATATGCCTGTGAGAATAAAATGTTATTATTTAACTCAATTTCTGTCCCTGATGTATTTTTATGCCTAGAAACTCACATATAACTGGTTCTTGAAAATGTACTTTCAAACTCAGTTTCTGTGACACTCGTATGTTCAAATTTTGTTATTTTTTAAATTTAATATTTTTTATAGTTTTACTGTATTTATTTTTAATTTTATTGAGCTCCACATTTTTCTCTGCTCCCCTGCCTCTCCTTTCCTTCAACCCTCTCCCTAAATTTATTATTTTTTAAATAATGAAAGATAATAAAATGAGATAGAGTAAAAACTAATGACCGGAATTGGACAAAACAAACAAACAGAAGGAAAAGAAACAAAGAGAAGGCACCAGAATCAGAGATTCATTCATTTGCACACTCAGAAATCCCATAAAAACTCTAACCTGGAAGCCATAGTATAAACATAGAGGACATGGTTCAGACCCATGCAGGCCCTCTGCATGATGCTCAGTCTCAATGAGTTCATATGTTGTTCGTTTATTTTCAGATCTGTTGCAATCCTATCTATTTAAGTCAAGTCATTAGAGGTAGAGTTTATTAGTTATTATGTATTTAAACAGTAACAACAATATTGAATGCAGACTAAGTAAGACAAGTTTTAAGTTTCTCAAAAAGTAATAACATTTTCTATCATTCAAAAAAATATTTTTTTTCTAGTATGAAACACATACATCAGAAAACTTTATGAAGTCACTTAAGGTAAGAAGAATTGGGAGATACTGGGACACACACACACATGCATACGCACACTCATACATTCATAGTCGCTCATTCACATTCTGGAATTCCTCAACAATTTATTGCAAAGGCCATTGCCCATGATCCTCTGGGTATAAAAGGATGGGAGAACATACAACAATCTGTGAATATAAATTATATGTTGGCACACGAGGATACAAGATGGAAAAGATGTGCAACATAATGTGAGTTGAGAATACACATTAGACACACGATCTATAACACCACAGCAGCCATGATGCAGCTGAGGATGCTGCATTCAGGAATATGATGGCATGACTAAAAAAGGACAACAGATTTGAGAAAGGGGATGATTTAAGGAAAAAAATCTTGACTAAAGTATGAAATTCAATCATATTTCATATATACCTCAATGTATATAAAATGTATTAATTTCACATATTTCAAATATAATTATCAATTCCCCTTTAAGTGACTTAACTTCTGTGCTTTCTTCTGATGGAAAAGATGTGCAGCATCATGTGAACTGAGCTGTTTTTGAGTGAGGATTCATGGACATTCACAACACAACTTTAACAACATAAACATTTCTCTTTTGTAGAGCCTCCTGGACACCAGCGTTAACAAAACTGTTAGCATTAACTGTAAATATTACATAATAAATCTGGGCTTCTTGCCATTAGTAACACATTTACAAGGAAAATTGTTTTTTGTTATCTTTTTGTATCCATTTTAAAAACTATGTAGTGTGGTCTTACAAGAAAGTATGTTGTCATCGAATCCAGTGTCGTTAGACTTTCTCTATTAGGAAACTAGAGAAATAAGAGAAACAATTGATCTGACACCTTAGCATACAATCCCTTGTCTTAAAGGAGATATTTGAGTCAGAACCCCCATTTATTAGACAGGCATATTCTCTTACCACAACTCTATCTATACATCCCTTGAAATGTAGAATAAACAGGTCTGAGCTAGAGGGCTAGAAAGCTACAAGATGATGCTAATGTGAGTGGTTGGAAAATTATAATTTTGGAAATAATTCTTGCAGTATTCTATGATATGATATATTTATCTGACTTACCAAATCTTCATTTGCCTCCTTTAAGTCCTTCAGCTGATTTGAGCTCTTTCCTTCTGAACTGCTAATGACGTGAATATCTGAAATTGTAAAGGTTCCTTGATAATACTCCATTTTCTGGCCTGTGAAGATAATGAAATATAGAAAATCCATATCTATGCAGACTTCAAGATATAATACCTAACTATAAAGGACCTGAAATGAAGTCTTAAATATATCACCAAGCTTCCTTTTATTAATAGTTTTATGTTAACAATAGTTGAATATATACAGAACACTGTTCTGTCATGCCACCCCATGTATCATTTGTTCATAATTGCAGTTTCTTGAGATTGGCATCGCTTCCATTTTATAAAGGAGCAGAGTAAGACACCATCATGTTTGCTATACAACTAGTAGGTGGTCTTTCTGAAAGTTTCAATCTTACAGTGTGGCCCTAGAGCTTGGATGTTCATTGTTATGTTTTCATGTGCTTTGTTGTTGTTGAAGTGTGCACCATCCATGAACACAGGTAAGTAAATGAGCATTATTGTACTTGTGGTGAAAGATCCAAGTACAGTGAAGGAAATCACAAGAAAAAAAGCTATCAGAGATCACAAGTGAAAACACTCTGTAACAGAGCTTACTGTCTGCTCATCAGGAATGAAAGTAAAGAGATTAGAGTCTGTTGTCAAACAGTACTTCACAGTTAAAGATGCCTCTGTACAATCAAATGAACTGACTCGTGCATGGGTCTTTGCCATTGGTAGAAACTACTACTGGGTTTTCAGTATGAGACTCGGAATATGGTAGACAGTCATTTTACTCTCCTAAGAGTGCTGGCCTCATCAAGTCTTTAAAGATGACATCAGATAAAGCCATTCAAGTAAGCAGCATGAGCTACTCATTTTAATCACACATCATCATCATCTGAGTGTTCATTGCAGAGATTTGTCAAAAATGTAAATGGTTTATATTTAGCAAAGAAAGATTAAATGGAGAGGGAAATTTAAAATGTATTATTTGCATTAATATAAACATATTAAACAATAAACACAAAATTATTAAATACAGTTTGGGGAAGAGTAATTTTTAAGAGAAAGTAATAACATTGCATCATAGTTTATCTGGGATTTTAAAATTCACTATTTTCTTTCTTTTCATAGTGTTTTTTTTTTCGTAGAAATTCTACTGGATAGAGAGCAATGGTCAAAAGCAAAAGAACCAATTTTGGTAGCACATTTATCATAGTCTTTCATCTTGATGTGCAGCAAGTGGTAAGATTTGCTTGGTCTGACTGCCAGTAGCCCATGAAAAAATGACTATTTGGGGTATTATATGTAGATTCTAAAGAATATTGTACCTCAGCAAGTGAGAATCTTCTATACTTTGTTGAATGTTGTATCATACACATCCAGAAAAGTATTTACATAATTATTTGTTAACGAAATGACAGACTAAGCTTTAAAATAATCTGAGTGTGGACAGTCCCAGGTGCAAATATGAATCCCATTTACAGGCTTGCAAATCATGCTGCCCTGTGTGGGGAAGTGAAATTACCAATTCTTCCTACCAGAGACTAAGACATGAGCCAGAAGTCCAATGGTCGCTGCTACCATCATCAAGGCGAGCACCGTGAGAAGGGCAATTACCCATGGCTTCAGATCTCTGCTGTGGGTACCATATTCTGCCACTCTGCACAAAGGAAGACCATGGTTACTCTCACATGGGAATAGTTTGAGGTTTTCTAGTTGTGCTTCAGTGAATTCACACGGCTACATGCTTCTTTACCAGCAAGAGGACATCATTTTTAATTTTGGTAAGGTCATCTTGGTCCTGTGAGGAGCCATTGAAAAGATTAGACATAGGAATCATGTTCTTGCCCTGCTTTCTGCTTCTGATGCAGTTTGGTGGTATCAGCGGGATGCCAAACTGCTGTCAGGAGATTCCAGTCTCCTACGTATGCCTGCAAAAACTCACCCCCTTCCAACTCTCTTTTATGTCACATCAATCTATCTAAAATTCACAAACTTTTTTAAAAGATTTATTTCTTTATATGTGCATTCGTGTTTGGCTTGCATGCATAAATGTGCGAGGGTGTCAGATCCCCTGAAACTGGAGTTTCAGACAAATGTGAACTGTCATGGAGGAGCTGGGAACTGGACTATAATCCTCTGGAAGAGCAGTCAGTGCTCTTAATCCCTGAGCCATCTCTCCATCCCCTAGGTTTCACTAACTAACTTCAGATATACTCTTTTACTCATCTTTTTAACAAGTGTGATATTTTAAAGGAGAAAAATTAGAAAAGTGTAAATAAATATATTCTTCTTATAACTTTATCATCCATATTCTTATCATTCATTCATTTTTACCCCTGTATTAATAATGTGAATTAAGATGTTATAACCTTCCACCCAACCACTGTTATAAACAGGCTATTTTCAATATCATATTAGCCCCCAAGATTAATGTTGTTCTAATATCTCCTAATGGCCAGTCTACCCTCAAATTACATTTTATCTTCATAGTATTTATGCTTGTTTTACACAGGCCAGGATACTATCTTGTTTTATATGCGTCAATGCAGAGTTTGTGGTAACTATGACTTATAAGTCACTTTTAGTCAAAAACAGCCATGCTTCCTTTGAAGTTTGAATGCTATTGGCTTGTTGAAGAGATCAAACTAACAGTCTTTAGATAGTTCCACCTTTTGTTCTTGTCCGATGCTTCCTTGTGGTATCAACCAGTTTGCTTTTCTAATTTCCTCGTAATTAGAATTTGCATTCTAAATTCTTAATTAAGTTTGGGTTAAATTAATTTGACACAATTACTTTAGATGTGACAATGTGTGCTTTATGTCTCATTAAACTAGAAGCAGAGAAAATTATCACAGTGTTGGATGAAAAGCTGCCCTTCTTCTCTTAACTTTTTATGGACAAATGTGTTCATTGTATTGTGTCAAGCATGGTGTGAGTGTTCACCGCACAGTGTCAATTGGAACTCCTCAGTGGGCTGCACTAGGTCATCTCTTACCACTAAAACCTGATGAGAAGCCTGGTACAGAATAAAATTTTATTAGCTTCTAAGCCACAAGTGGATTAAACCAAGCTTGCATATGAATTACAAGAGGTCATCAGGCCCTCTAACTTCAGCAATCCATTCCAACAATTTTCCATGATAATAGTCTTGTTTGCATGTTTCGTTAGTTTATCATTTCATGATTATATGTTGATAACAATATTTCTTCATGAGCAAAAAAATATTCTTCATATTTCCTTCACAGAATATGCTGAAATGTTTTATTCAAAGTAAAGTTTTAGTATATCGTGATTTTTGGACTACAAAGCAAAAGTAAGTTAATGTTAAGGCAAAAAGTGTAACAACTGAGGCCTATGTAATAAACAAAATAACAGATTTCAGATGGGCATGCCAGAGTAGTTGGAAAAAGATTGCAAGACCTCAAACCTACACAAAAAAACTATAGGCAACTGAGAAAAGCTAGAAGCATGAGAGGTGATCCTCTTTAGGAAAGGGTATACCGATGGCTCATTCAATGCCAAACCATCAGCTATGAAACAGACATACAAATAATGCTGAGCAGGGGATCTTTAGGAATATACATGGATATACATATACACATGCAAGTACGCATGCAGTAACAATTAATGAAAGAAGACGCTATGAATTTGCAGGAGAGCGAGGAGAGGTATATGGAAGGATTTGAAGGGAGAAAATGGGATGGAGTAAAGTTGTAATTATACTCCAATCTCAGAAATTAAGAAGATACATATATTCTACAAGCCTGAGAAGCATAAATTATGTGTTCAGAGAATATAGGCCATGTGGATGATGGTTGATTAAAAATAACCCCGATTTGGCTGAAGAAAACCTGTACGCTCTCTGACTGAGGCAATCTAACACACTCAATTATAACATCAAGCAGATGCTCCACCGGATGAGATGCTTTTCTGCCTTCTAAATGGCTTGACGCTTAATTCAGAATGAAAGAAACCTTAGAGATGTTTTTGTGTAATTTGGCCACAATCTGAAAGAAAACACCTATATTCAAAGATATCAAGTAATTTCTCTCACATAACAGAAGTTGGCGATTTCTCAAACTAAGGTCTTTTGACTTCTAGAACATAAATTCCCAGTGGTCAGACTGTCTTTCAATTAGTTACATTTTGGATTCTTAAATGTGCTTATAGTTTATGTGTTCTCTGTGGCTGCCTTGGAAGGGTTCACAGGTTAGCTTCAAGAGCTGCTCTGCCTCAGTTGGGCCCCTTCATAGACTCTTGTTAGTGTACCCGAAAAAAGTCATCCAAAGAAAGAAAGGTTTAACTTAAGAATATGTACAAAATTTTAAATCCATCATACAACAGTTCCTCTGAACAGAGCGAATAGAGGAAGGCAATTGTGAAAAATCGCACAGCTGCTACTCAGGTATTTACAGACGACAGCACAGGCTCAGAAATAGGGGTGATTCAGCTTTGCTATGTGCTGCTAACATGCCTACGAGCTGCATCTTCAAATCCCACAGAGAAGCCGTGAGCACCTGGGTCTCAAGGAGCTAGAGTGAAAACTTTCATTTAAATTGTGGTATTTTGGGGGAGCCTGGAGGTGACTGGGTGGTTACAAGTGCTTGCTGCTCTTGCACACACATTCACACACCCACACATAATAAAATAAAACGTTGTATGTTTTAAAGAAGCTTTGGGGACTCTAGTCCCGGTACAGCTTCGAGTAGTACAAGCTGCAACGTCCTAAGTTAAAGTTACTGCTATTTAATCCTGCATGAATCAAGGCAAAGACTAACTTTTTATGGAGATAAATATGTAATTCATGAAGGCAAAAAACACACCATTGCATTCCCATTCTGCACAGGCTCAATTAGTCATTTGCTTGAGATCACTTCCAGTTAGGAAACACTTAGTAAAGTTGCCTGGAATCTAACCTGTCTGTAAATGGGTGCACCATTTTGTTATACATTGTTTGCATAACCAGTTTTGCTTCTGAAGTCAAAACAAACACAGGTGTATTCATTTTCTATTCCCAAGTAACTGATTACTACAAAATTAGCAGCTCAAAGAAATACCCAGTGCTCTATGTGGCATGGCTGACTTCTTTGTTCATGTTCTGTCTCTGTCTCTGTCTCTCTCTCTCTCTCTCACACACACACACACAAACTTAAATACTATGATGTGTTTGAGTTGTTTGTTTTGTTCTCATTTTTTGAGATTTTATTTTAATGATATTTCTCCCATCCCTTTCTTCCCTCTAAACCCTCCCATCAGCCCCTACCCACTCTCCTTTAAATTCCTGTTCTCTTTTTTCATTATTATTACATGCATATATGTATAGGTGTATATATATATATATACTCCTAAGCATCAGAAGTTCAATCTTTATATCGTTATATGAATGTTATATGCATGTTTTTGGGGGTGACCATTTTGGCCCTGGACAACCCAGTATTCATAGTCTCTTATGACTCAGATCGAGGTTCTGCTTGGAGCTGCTTTCACAGTCAGTGGTTTTTGAGCCATTTCCATGTTCACTAGAATATTAGACAGAACTTGGTTTCTTGGGGTTGAACTAAGGTCAAAATAAAGCCTACCCTTTTCTTAAGTTATTATCGAATTAGACCTCCAAGGATACTATCCCATTTTTAAATATTTTACATCATAAAATCCCCTCATGGCATCTAGATAGGCATTTGGTTCATGTTCCTTCTCCTGGAGAAGGAGTATGTACAAGAGAGGGTGGGGATGCTGGCAGTCATCATGAGATTTGGCCACACTACAACTAAAAATATTATGATTTTAATGAGAATGAATACATGCACCATCATGGGGAAGCATGTGTGAACTAAACTGTAAGACTGGCACTGGAGAACTGTCCCATGAGAAGGGAATTCTAAGATGATCATAGAATAAAAAGAATAATAGGGAACGTAATGTTTTTAGTCAAACAGAAAACTCTCAGAAATTAAAATGAAGAAAGACCTAAAGTTAATCCTCCATCATGCTGTAATTGGCACTTTGCATTCTTCTTGGGACCAGGAAAGTACAAATGATCCTTATTCCAAACTTCACAGACCTATAATCTCCATGAAACCCAGTTTGTCACATCCATTAGTCAGTTTTGAGAAGGGTGTGTTCATGGCTGTCAAAGCAATATGCTACAAATTCAATAATGTGACTTGGCTTCTAAATCTTAGAGGTTGAAAATACACAGAGAGTTACAGTCTGCAGTTCCTTAGTATCTTCATATGTGTGAATTCAAAGATGACTTAAGCAAAAGGACATGCTGATCTTCATGTCCCTTGGGATCTTCTTTTCCCTGGCTGGTAGACTGTCCAGGTGCTCCACCTTCAAATTTATGTCCTTTATCATTTTGTCTATAGGCCCCAGAATTTTCATACTCTGGAATTATTTTTCTGCTTTCCCTAAGAAGGTTCATGTTATTGGTATACAAAAGTGTCTTAGGGCTATTATTGCTGCGATAAAACACATGACCAAAAGCAATTTGGAGAGGAAAGGATTTATTTGATTTTCCTTTCATATCACTGTTCATCACTGAAAGAATTCAGGATAGGAACTCAAACAAGACAGCACCCTGGAGGCAGAAGCTGATGCAGAAGTCATGGAGGGATGCTGCTTACTGTCTTACTGGCTTGCTCAAGCTGCTTCTTATAGAACTCAAGAAAACCAGCCCAGGGATGGCACCACCTAAAATGAGCTGGGCCCTCCACCATCAATCACTAATTAAGACAATGCCCCTCAGACTTGCCTGTAGCCCAATCTGATGGAGACATTTTCTCGTCTGAAGTTCCCTTCTCTGAGATTATTCTAACTTGTATCAAGTTGACATAAAACTAGCCTGCACAAAATATATAAGATTGCCACACAACTGTCCATTTATACATTGGTTGTGTCCCTACAGGGAACATTGTGTGGTGACTTTTATATACAGCTGTCTACTGATTAACCTTTACATATCTTTTAGGGTCACCATTTAATACAAAAATTATACAAATATGAGCTATCCTGGGAAAGTGTACTTTATAGGGTTAATGTATTACCATTTTTGTCACCAGAATTACTTATATTACTTTTGTGAGTATTTTACTCTGAGGGAGAAACAATTTGCTCGGTTCATGTATCTTGAGTATGCAGTTAGGACCTCATTTATCTTAGAAACATATATTTCTATTTCTCACTGATGATGCACAATTGTGTGTGTGCATGGCCTATGTCGTGATATTTCAATGTAGGTATACAATGGACAGTGGTCAAATCAAGGTTTCTACAAGTCTACTACTAGGTGTTTAACACTTTGTGCTGAGGGTATTCAGAATCTTCTCCACTAGCTATTTTGAAATAGTTAATTAATTGTTACCGCTAATTGTTTTAGTAGCTATTGAATATTAGAAGCAATTCCTTTTACCCAATCATGTAATGATAACTATTAGGTGTTTTCCCTCAAACTGTCTGCCTTTGGTTTCTATGAGCTGGAACATTTCTTTTGGGAGAGGAAACTGTTCTTTAAGAGACTCATTTTTACTCGTCAAGAGAGGTTTCCCAGTGGCACAAATGGATAATTCGTGGGATCCGAGCAGCATGGAAATAAAGGCTTTCCTGAAGTGAGGCCGAGACTGTTTACTGGACAAAAGCTTTGTCGGGCTTTCCTGTGCTTACATCTTCAATTTGAGTTTGATTTTTGCACCTTAAGCCTTTCTATTGGTCTTAAATGTGTGTGTGTGTGTTTTTCCAAAAGTGATTCTTTCCATCAGTCCTCTCTTCAGAGAGCCTTTTGTGACAATGATAGTATGATTAGAGAGATGGGATGCTAAAGGAGGCATGCAGAGGGAAATGTAATGAGCGCGGCTTTTTTAATTCTGGTATGCGCACGTGCATGTGTATGTGTGTGTTCATTCAGAAATGCAAAAGCCAGAAGAGGAGTAGGGTGTTCTCTACTACTATATGTCTTATAACTTTGAGTTCAAACCTTTCACTGAATCATGAACTAGACAGGTGGTGAGTCTCAGGAATCCTCCTGTCTCTGCTGGAGCCTCCCATGCTGGGTGACACGTGGGCATGATTCCACCAAGCTATTTTTTTTTTCATGAGTTCTGAGGATTTTTACTTAAGTCCTCATGCTTGTGATGCAAGCGTTCTTGCATTTCCATAGCTCACAGTTTAGTTCCTGATAGCTTATGTAGACACATATCTTCTCCAAAACTACAAGATCATGGGGGCAGTAAATATGTCATGTATGACACGGAGACATTTCTTAAGCATGTTCTCAAGTAGGAAGAAGAGTGGAAGCTTCTCATGTTCAAATATATTTGGTAATGAGAATGAAAACATTTTAGGAAATGTTAAATAGTATATATTTTTCTGAACTTTCACTGATTTCAAATGAAGAGTGTAAAAGTAGGAAGCGTGTTCACCAGTTTTTGCTGCATGCCCTGGCCATTGACACACCCACAGTGCATCCCATACCACTTAGGTCTTAGATACTGGAAACTAACAAATTAGCAAAATGCAAGTTTTCCATGCCTACTTTTCATCAGCATATGCCCTGCTGTTTCTTGGGTCCTCCTGTTCTTAGAAGGGACAGAAGACATAGGTGTGTATCTGTTCTCACCAGTGTGAGGCTTCATTAACAACAGGCTAACCCAAGGTGACCCATCATCTCATATTTCTTTCAAGACAAGAAAGCGAAAACTATGCAAAATATCACCATGCATTGAGAACAAAGGGAATCTTCTGTGGGGAATGAAAATAAAGTTCAGGCTGTGCTGAGTTCGGGAACTGAGAAGGAAATTGGAATGCAGGAAGTACATCAGATCCTTGTCTCTTTGCCCTGATCTTAAGAAACCAAAACCAGCTTTTGAAGGGGCTTGACTGTGAGAATTTGACAGTCAGAGGAAGATGTCAGCCAAAGGCTTCTGAGAATACCTTCTCTCTGCCCCCAATGATGGTCTCCACTCATTAAGAAACATATAGATGTGGCCATTATCAGTCAATTTGTTGTTATAACAACACATGAAAGAAATCAGCCATTCCCCCACTATACCCCCCAAAAAAAGAGCATTTTATTTTGAAGATATTGCAAGGAATTCTGGTACCAGGATCATTTTGGGTTTTTAATCATCTTGGAGTTACACCAAAGAAGTTTATACAAATAGACATCAGAAAATACCCAGGACATTTTTAGTGCAAGTTAATCAAGGTTAAGAGTACTTTCTACTGTGGTTCAACTGATACAATAAAATCAGGATATTATTCAATATGTGTACGATTAATAGACAATAAAGGATTAAACAAACAGGCTAAACAAAGCTTACTATAAAATGTTCTATGGTCCACAAGATATAGGTAGGACTTAATGTTAACCCATTTCTATTAAATCTGTGTATCACCATGTGACTGTGGCTTACTGGCAAGATTCTAACCTACGTCCACCTCAGGCCGGAGATTCATGGTGTCTGCCACACTGCCT